GCTCAAGTTCCACTGCTCCCTGGCTGCACCTTTTAATACGAATGCCCCTCTCTGGGGTCCCTCTGCCCTTCTAGAGCTCCCCATTCTCCTGAACTTTCCCGCCTCCGCAGGTAGATCTTAGGATGGAGACCAGCTTACGTCAAAGATACAGCACGTTCACGCACAAAGGTGGAGTTGCAGGGCGCACAGGAAGCTTCGTGCCCACAGTGCTGGGCCAGGTCTTCTTGGGTGGTGCCCACTGGCCTTGGCTCTTGTCCTGCGCCCCAGAGGCAGGGGTCCAGCAGCGTGGAGGGAGGGGCTGGCGCCAAGGAGAGTTAGGGGTCTTGTGACGGTCTGGGGTCGATGGATCCCTCCAAGCCCAGCGGGATGGCTGTGGGGTCTGTGCAGGAGTCAGAATTAATAGCTTGGAGGGGAAGCAGGATGTAACCTAGAATAATTCCCTGACTTCTGACATCCTTCAGGGAGGGTGGGCTGTTTCATGCTCAAGAATTAAGTTTCTCAATGAAAACTTGTCCTGTCTAAGAATGGCCGTCACAGTACGGGGCAAGGAGGCTGGTGGGATAGTGGAGACTGAGATTTCTCTGCAGAGCTCAAATGACTGAAGCAGACTTGGAAGCTTACTCTAAAAGAGGATTAACATTTGCCTACTTTTTCTTATTTCTATTTATTTTTTTAGCTTTGTCAAAACAAGGCCACTAAACATTTGGTTGTCTCCCCCAAAAACTGGGAGAGAGAGACGATTGCCTATTTTTTTTAGATCCCAGGGAGTAAAGTCTTGTTGGTTTATTTGCCTTTAAGCAATCCCTAAAAGTTAGTATTGTTAAGCCTCTTAGGATTCAACATGATAGGTTCTCATGCATACTCCCGCTGAGCCGCTTTCCGGCTGCACAGACGCCCCGGGAGCAGCGGCGCTGTCTGCAGTTCCAGGTCCGAGCTTCTGGCCCGTTTGAGCAGAGGCCACACAGAGGATGTCTTTCGGGCGTGGTCCGCCACTTTCGAGGAGCACTGTCTCCTTCCCGAAGTGGGCCCCTGGGCCTGACTTCCCTGTCCCAGAGGCAGTTCACTGGGTATGACCATGGCCCCACCTTACAGATGGAGGCACATGCGGTGAATCCGTGTGAGCTGAGTGAACTGTTTATGCAACATTTGCAGAGAGAGAGTCAGAAGGAAAGTAAAGTGTGGGGGAGGGAACAGATTAATCCGGGGAGTTATGTAGGTGGAAGGAGCACAGCGCAACTTGGAAGGAGGCTGCTCTAACCTCATGGGAGCAGGACAGGTGAGACCAGGAGCTGGCTGGCCGCAAGGGCAGCCCCAGAGCTCCTGCAGAGACCCAGCCTCCAAGAGCCCAGGGTGGAGTTAGGAGGCTGGGAGACGTCCATGTCCCTGCAATATCACTGGTCTTTCTTGCTCAATTTCCTAATCTCTGAAGTCAGTTAAGTAACCTGTGTTTGTCTCATTTATTTTTTAATTTTTTTAACTCATCTTTATTGTTGAATGTATTACAGATGTCCCCCCTTTTTATTCCTATTGACCCCCTCCTCCCCAATTGTGTCCCCTCCAGCCTTCCCCACACTATTGTTGGTGTCCTTTGGTTATGCACATATGCATAAAAGTTCTTTGGTTTATCTCATCTCGCCCTCCCTCCCCCTTCCCTTTGAGGTTCATCAGCCTAACAACAAATTTGTACTTCTTAATTCCTTCATCTTTTTTACCCATCCTCCCAGCCCCCACCCATCTGGCAAGCAACAGAAAGTTCTCAGTATCTAGGAGTCTGTTTCTGTTCAGTTTGCTCATTTTGTTTGCAGATTCAATTATTGATAGAGATGTATTAATTGCCATTTTATTGTGCATATTTTTGTTCTTCTCCTTTAAGAATACCCTTCAACATTTCATATAATTCTGGTTTGGTGGTGATGAACTCCTTTAGCTTTTTTGTCTGGGAAACTCTTGAGATGTCCATCAATTCTAAATGACAGCTTTGCAGGATAGAGTAGTCTTGGTTGTAGGTCATTGCTTTTCATCACCTTGAATATCTCTTGCCACTCCCTTCTGGCCTGCAAAGTTTCTTTTGAGAAAGCTGACAGACTTATGGGAGCTCCTTTGTAGGTAAAGAACTGCTTTTCTCTTGCTGCTTTTAAGATCCCTCTTTGTATTTCACCTTTGGCATTCTGATAATGATATGTCTTAGTGTGGTCCTCTTTGAGTTTATCTTGTTTGGGACCCTCTGTGCTTCCTGGACTTGTCTGACTGTTTCCTTCTCCAAGTTCAAGAAATTTTCTGTTATTATTATTTCAAATAGGTTTTCAATTTCTTGTTCTCTCTCTTCTCCTTCTGGCACCCCTATGATGTGAATGTTGGTACACTTGAAGTTGTCCCAGAGGCGCCTTATACCCTCCTCATTTTTTTGGATTTTTTTTTTTTTTTTTTTTTTTGCTGATCTGATTGGGTGTTTTCATTTCTGACGGGTTCATTTTTAAGTTGTTGATATTCTCACTAAGTTCCTTGAAGGTCTCATCAAGTTCCTTGAGCAACCTTATAACCAGTGTTTTTAACGCTGCATCTGATTGATTGCTTATCTCCATTATGTTTAATTCTTTTTCTGGAGTTTTGTTCTTTTCTTTTATTTGGGACATGTTTCTTTGTCTTCTCATTTTGGCTGCTTCCCTGTGATTGTTTCTATGTATTAGGTAGTGTTGCTATGTCTCCTAGGCTTTGTAGGGTGGCCTATTGTTGTAGGTGTCCTGTAGGATCCAGTGGCACAGCCTCCCTGATCCCCCAGCTGGGCCCTCGAGGTGCACCCCTCATGTGGACTGTACCCTCTTCAGTTTTAATTGAGTCTTGATTGCTGTTTGCATGTCAATGAGAGGGATTTACTCGGCTGATCAGCTGCAAGGACTGGCTGTGCTCATTGACCACTGGCCTGTGACTACCTTGGAGGATCAGCTGTGTAGGGGCCACCACACAGAGCAAGACTTACTTCATCAGGGCTCTGGTACCCACTGAGTCCCCTCATTGAGTGTGTCATTTGTGGAGGTGGTTGGGTGGTAGTGCTTTGCAGTGTTCTGAAGCTGTCCACTGGGTGTACTGGCTCTGGGGAAAGGTCAGCCACTGCCTGTGTTCTACCCGGGGCCACCCAGCATAAGCTACAGAGTGATCTGCAGATGGCTGCTGCTTGTGCTGGGCTTGGACGTGCCGCAGCAAAGCCAAGTTGTGAACCAAGGCTGGCTGCTTCTAGTGCCAGGCCTGGGGCCACTTAACAAGAGGTATGGGGCTCACTGAGACCAGATGCTGCTTGTTTGAGAGATTTTAGGAAACTCTGAAGTAGGATCCAAGACACGCCACTCCTATGGTAATGCCACCGGAAACAGTTTGGTGGGCCCGAAAGTTGGGTGGGGCAGGGCCTCAGGGAATCACCAGGGCAGGGCAAACAGTGTGAACCAAGTTGCTGGAGTCCCAGGGAAGGGCTCACCAAACATCAGCCTTCGCCAGCACATCTGTCCAGGAGAAAGCCACCTCTCCAGTCCTCGTCCCAAGGCCAAACAACTCAGTTCTTCCCTGTATGTCTCTGGTGCCCCTCAAGCTGCCTTCCCTCCGAGCTTAGAGGGAGCAAGTCTGAGTAAGTCCATTCGCAGGCCCTTTATTTATTTATTTATTTATTTATTTATTTATTTATTTATTTTTCTTTATTGATTTTAGAGAGAGAAGAAGGGAGAGGGAGAGATAGAAACAATGACAAGAGAGAACATAAATTGGCCGCCTCCTGCATGCCCCCCACTGGAGATTTTGCCCACAACCTGGGCATGTGCCCTGACTGGGCATCAAACTGGCAACCTCTTGGTGCATGGGTCATTGCTCAACCACTGAGCCACACCGGCTGGGCTACGTGCGGGCCCTTTAATAGGAGCTCCCTGGGGCTCCAGCAGCCTCAGCCTCCCTGAGTTTCAGTTCCCACTGGTTTTACAGCCAAAAGTGATGGGGATTCTCTTCCTGGCACTGGAACCTTGAGCTGGGCGCCTGGTGTGAGACAGGGACCCCTCACTTTTCAGGGAGGACCTTCCCAGCTGAGGTGTCCTCCTGATTTTTATCCACCACATGTGGGTGTGGGACCAGCCCGTCCGCCTCCATCCCTCCTACCAGTCTCCATGTGGCTGCTTCTTTAATTCAGTACTTGTAGGACTTCCATTCAGCTAGATTTCAGGTGGTTTTGAATGATGGTTGTTCTGTAGTTTAGTTGTAACTTTGATGTGGTTGTGGGAGGAGGCGAGTTGATCAGAAGTTCCCTGTTTGTCTCATTTAATTTATGCTTGTGTAGGGTAACTACAGTACTATATCGATATTGTAGACTATTATTAATGGTGGGTGGCACGTTAGTGGGCAATATGTACAGATATACAGAGACAGGTATTCATACCACACACATGTATGTGCATATGCACACTCGTACACAAATGAGTACACACACAGATACATGCACATATTTATGTGCACATATGTGGCACATGCACACAGACTCATATGCACACACATGCACATAGATTACAATGTGCACAGGCATACACACGTGAAAGTATTGTGTGTGCATGTTCATGTGCTCTTTGCACACATGACATGAAACATATACACACACATGCACTGTAAATGCATTCAGATACAGTACGTGGACTCACACCAAGACAGGTGTGCACACAGCTTAGATATGTACTCACATGCGTGTGCACATACATTCACATACATGTAACTGCTTGCATGTACAACATGCACACACATTTGTGCCAGAACCTTCATGTGCACATAGGGATAAACACATGTACACACAAACATATTCACATGAACACACAGGGCTTTGGAGAGCTCTGCAGCACATCCCACATTGGAAAGTGTTAGGACAGCCACCCAATGACTGCATTCCACCCCCACGAATGACAACACCTGTCCCTTTGGGCAGTTGGACTACAGCTCACCTGTCCTACCTGAGTATTAACAAGCATGTTCCCTTATAGGCCAGCGATCTGAAGCATGGGTGACTGGACCTTCCTGGGAAGATTACTGGAGAAAGCACAAGAGCAGTCTACAGTCATTGGCAAGGTCTGGCTGACCGTGCTGTTCATCTTCCGGATCTTGTTGCTGGGAGCCGGCGTGGAGTCAGTGTGGGGAGACGAGCAGTCGGGCTTCACCTGCAACACCCTGCAGCCGGGCTGCGAGAACGTCTGCTACGACAAAGCCTTCCCCATCTCCCACACCCGCTTCTGGGTGCTGCAGATTATCTTCGTGTCCACGCCCACCCTCATCTACCTGGGGCACGTGTTGCACTGCATGAGCATGGAGCAGAAGAAGAAGGGGCGGGAGGAGGAGCAGCTGAAGGGAGGCAGCTTGCACCTCACACCTGCTGGGCAGTGCAGGCCCAGCGACCACAGCCAGGACAAGCCCCTTCTGTGGAACATGCAGGGCAAGGTCCGCATTGCCGGGGCCCTGCTCCGGACCTATGTCTTCAACATCATCTTTAAGACGCTGTTTGAAGTAGGTTTCATTATCGGGCAGTACTACCTGTATGGCTTTGAGCTGAAGCCGCTCTACCACTGTGACCGGTGGCCCTGCCCCAACACCGTGGACTGCTTCATCTCCAGGCCCACGGAGAAGACCATCTTCATCATCTTCATGCTGGTCGTGGCCTGCCTGTCCCTCTTACTCAATGTGCTGGAGTTATACCACCTGGGCTGGAAGAAGCTGAAACAGGGTGTGACCAACCACTATGGCCCAGACACCCCTGAATCCAGGATGGGGGCCAAAAAACCTGGGGAAGTGAGCCCACCATCCTCCCACCCTGGTTTAGCCACCAGTACTGTGGGGTGCCCTCCTTACTGTACCCACTGTGCCTCTTCCCTGGGACAGGCAATGGCCGCAGCCTATCCCAGGGCCCTTCCGCCAGCACCAGACTTCAACAAGGCAGCCTTGTCCCAGACACAGGGGAAGGGCCACCCTGACCAATCCTACGACAGCAGCCACCACCTTCTAACGACAGAGCAGAACTGGGCCAACCAGGAGACCGAACAGCAGACTTCTGTGAGGATGGCCTCGCCCCCTGTGTCCACATCCTCCTCCTTTACGCCTCCAGGCAGCTCCCAGCCAAACCCTCAGGGGGACAGAGCAGGCAGCAAAGAGCCTGTCCTGCTGGGGGACAGGGCCGGCAGCACCTTGGGGGAGAGCAGACTGGCAGTGACTGCTGAGGAGGGGCGGCAGGCAGCGCCCCCCGATGTGGAGATGCACCCGCCACCTCTGCCCCCCACAGACCCCAGAGGGTCAAGCAAGGCCAGTGAGAGCAGCGGCAGTCGGGCCAGACCCAGTGACTTGGCCATCTAGTGGTGGTCTCTCCAGACAGCTTTGTGATGACCTCTTTTCTAGCAACAAAACCAAAGTGCACTTCACCTGAGTGCAGAGAGCACTGGAGCGGGGCAGGGGAAGATCAGCAGAGAGGCCAGGTTTCCTGTCAGGGCTGCTGCCCTAGTGCTGGAGGGGCCCGGGGGACTCCTGCTCCCCATGGGGGCGGGCAAAGTGGGGTGCAGGGCCGATGGCCTGTAATGATGATATTCACAGCCACCCAAGAGCCCAGAACCCAGCCACCTTCTCAGGTGTCTCTGTCTCTGTGGGGGACTGTTCTGCGGTGACAGGCAGGTGTCTGCAGTCACTTCCGTTTCTGCCACTAGGTTTTCTGTCCTGAGCTCCCCGAGCCTCTGGGCCGCTCAGAAGGCCACAGCTGCACTCAGCCCTCTCTCTGTTTGACACTTGAACTCCGAGTCGGAGTTCATTGGGGTATTCGCCAAACTGCACCTAAAGGGGACTGAGAGCAAGCCTAGGTAGTGTCATTTGAGTCTGAAGCCGCGCGTGAAGTCCAGGACACCCAAGCGCAGGCGGCATGACAAGTGGGACGAGCGGCAGAGCGTGTGGCGAGGGCGCGAGGCGGCCGGCAGGAACGCGGGTGGGGACGCAGCCCCAGCGAGAGCCCTTTTCACAGCTGAGGAGTCAATAACGTGGCAGGCAGTCTCTGTGCCTGTTTCGAAATCCTATTTGCTGCTTTGACTTGTACAGATAGGCCTACTTCCCCCACTTCCTCTCCTTCAGAAAACAGAAAAGAAATGTATTCCTGTCATGTGGATACTGACCAAATGCTGACTATTTGTCCCATTTCCCACTAGGAAGGATTTGAAATTTATTTTAAAAGCACTGCTTTGACTTCGTGAGTCAGCTAATTACTAGAGAATGTACCAAATAAAATAAAAGCAGGAAGTCTCTCAAGTGCCTTTCAAATACTTAAAGTTTTTGGATGGGAGGTTAAGAGTTAACAGCTGTTGCCAGAAAAAGTATCTCCCCAGATGAGAGAAGGCACTACCCCTTGTTAGCTGTGCCCGGGAACCTCTCCTGGCTCCTCGCCTTCTCTGTGGGCAGCCCGTTTGCTTTCTAACGTGTAAATAAAAGTGTCTGGGTTCACTCCTGGGTGAGTGCTTGTGTGATTTCATGCGCGTGCCGGGGACTGTCACCGCGTGGATGGCTGCTGTGACGGGCGAGGCTCTTTGTGGGGGTGGGTGTGGCTAAAAGATGAGGGAATTTCTGTCCTGCACACACGCAGTTCGTCTCAGCCAGTGGCTGAGCCTGTGCGCAGTGCTGATGCCGAGCCTGGTCCTCGTGTCCCTTTTCACCTCCAACAGCCACTGATTGTAGTTAGTCCTTATGCAGCAAAACAACCTGCACTGGCAATTTGATCTGTTTCTTTTTATGAATTCCTTTGTCTGATGATTCTTTTGTGACCCTATAACAGTCTGTTAAAGAGACTGTGATTCCTGTCCTCAGATTAATGCAAGCAGCTGCTTCCTTCGAGTGTTTTGCTGGCTGTGGCATGGGCCGCACCATCTCCCCGGTGTGAACATCGCTCACTTCCCATTCATTCCTGCAGCCCCTCTCCCGCAGCTCTGGCCTCTCAGGGAGCGTGGGCCATCTCTGGGATATGAGTTATGCCCTTCAACAGGTTCTCACTTCTCTCATACCAAAAGGGTACACCATAACATCCTCAGTAATAATACACATTTCCATTATAATATATTTTAAATACAGTAGATTGAACAAAATTGATTTATGATCAAGCATTTCTCTTTTAATGAATTCTCAAGACTGAGAAGCAATTTTAGCATTACAGAAAGCACTAAGAGACAAATTCCTTAACTACAAAAGCAAGATCACTATCATTGTTGGCTGCAAGACTATGTCTTTTATTACTGCCTTTATTAGACAGAGATGCGGCTAGTTGGGATAAGATACAAAACAGCTGACAAGAATACTGATAATTTGGAATGTATCCACTTTGCAAATCCAGCTAAAGCTGATAAGAGTTCTTTCCTATTCATTTGCGTTGACGATCTCATGAAATTTAAGTCTATTTTTACATGCCCTTTCAAAATTGTCTTGGGAAGCATTCCGTATGAAAAACTGCTTGCACATTAAGCTGCTTTTCAGGGTTTGCTCTTGTGCAAACAGAGACAGTGGTTCCGTAGTTTATGTTAAATATGGAAACTGAGCTCCACTCAGATGTCCAGGCAGTTGTATTCGAGAAAATATGGCATTGAGTGGTATAAGACCGAGCCAAGAACATGCTGCGTTCTAATGCCAGCCTAGCCTCCAGCTTGCCCTGTCAGCTCTACAATGAGTCTGTTGTGGAAGGGAGGGAGGCAAGGAAGGGTAGGAACAGTTAGTGTTACTGCCTAGAAGTAGATAGAAGACTGCTACTCATCACCCCTCTGTACTTCAAGTGGGCTGGAACCAAAACTGCCTGGATTGGGGCTTGGCATGTAGTAGGCACCTGATAGTGACCCAATGACTGAATGAATGAATGTGAATGAATGAATGAAACCTAGGTTCTGCTTGATCACCTGAACTTAATTGGACATAGATTGAAACATCAGTGAACATGGTATCAGAGAAGTATATATATTTGCCAGGGCCGGCTAATTCTGTCCATAAAATCAACTTTATTGAGATATAATTTGTATTTGCCACATGGGGATATGCCAAAAGTGTATCACCACAGTCAAGAATATTTCCATCACACTGAAAGGTCCCTTTTGCTTCTAGTCAGTTCTCCTTCACCACCTTCAGGCAATCACTAATCTGCTATCTGACATTATAGATTAGTCTTTTCCAGAATTTCATGTAAATGGAAACATACAATGTGAACTCTCCTCTGTTTGTCTTTTTCACTTAAATGTTTTCAAAATTCATCTCCACGGTTGCGGGTTTCAGCAGTGTTCTTTTTATTGCTGAGGATTCCAGCAATTGTCTCTTCACCGGTTAATGAACTTTTGGGTGGTATATTAGGGTTCTCCAGAGGAGAGGGAAATATATATACAGTTGATCCTTGAACAACACGAGTTTAAACAGGTACACTTATATGTGGATTTTTTGCAATAAATACTGAAAGTATATTTTCTGTTCCTTGTGATTTTTTAATAACATTTTTTCTCTAACTGTATTGTAAGAATATAATATATAATACATATAACTTATAAGATATGTGAATCAGCTGTTCGTGTTATCAGTAAGGCTTCTAGCCAACAGTAGGCTATCAGTAGTTACATTTTGGGGGAGTCAAAAGTTATATTTTCAGCTGCCCAGGGGATAGGCACCATTAACTCCCATGCTGTCCCAGAGTCGTGTGTGTGTGTGTGTGTGTGTGTGTGTGTGTGTGTGTGTAAAGAAGGAATGTCCTCACATAACTGTGGAGGCCCACAAGTCCCAGGTCTGCAGTCTGCAGCTGGAGACCTAGGGGAGCCGGGTGGTGTAAATTCCCATCCAAAGGCCAGTAGATTTGAAACCCAGAAAGAGTCCGAAGACAGGGAAAAACAATGTCCCATTTCAAAGGCCGTTAGGCAGGAGAACTTTCTCTTACAAGAGAGTCAGCTATTTTTTCTCTTCCCGCCTTCAAATGATGGGGTGGGGCCACCACGTTAGGGAGGGCAATCTGCTTGACTCACTACCAATTCAAATGTTAATGTCATCCAGACACACCCAGAAACAGGCAAGATCAGCTCTCTGGGCACCCCAGGGCCCCAGTCAATTTGATACATGAAATTAATCATCCCGAGGTATGGGGTCCTCGAAGGCTGTAGGCACTCGATGGAGAAGTGGCTCGCCGGTGCCCCGGGCTGCTAACCTCTCGCTGCCTGCATTTCCGCAGCGCGGCCGCAGGACCGTGCTGGCTTCGCGCGTGGCGCGCGGCTCGTGGGGCGCATCACGCGGGGCCGCATGGGCGCCGAGGCTGCAGCCGGGCACGGGGCGCGCCCTCGGGGCCCTCCTGCCGCCCGCACCCGTCTGCCCGGGCTGCCTGGCGGAGCGCTGGTGGCGGCGCCCTGCCGTGCTCGGCCTGGGGCCACTGCTCAGGGGCGGGGAAGGCGACCCCGGGCCCAGGCCGGAGAGGGTGCGGCTGCGAGGCCCGGGGCGGACGCTGGGGCCCCGCGAGCGTCACCAGCCTGTATGAAAACCCTCGGACAATCCCAAATATGTTGTCAATGACGAGAATTGGCTTGGCCCCAGTGTTGGGCTATTTGATTATTGAAGATTTTAATATAGCACCAGGAGTTTTTGCTTTAGCTGGGCTAACTGATTTGTTGGATGGATTTATTGCTGGAAACTGGGCCAATCAAAATTCAGCTTTGGGCCCTGGCCAGTTTGGCTCAGTGGTTAGAGCTTCGGCCTGCGGACCGGAGAGTCCTGGGTTCAGTTCCTGCTAAGGGCACGTACCTCGGTTGCAGTTTGTCCCCGGCCCCGGTTGGGGTCGTGTGGGTGGCAACTACTTGATGGTGTCTCTCTCACATCGATGTTTCTCTCTCTCCCTTCCTCCTTCTCTCCCTCCCACTCTATCTGAAGATAAATGCAAAAAAAAAAAAAAAGGTGTCCTCGGGTGAGAATAAATAAATAAAAATGCATTGCTGTCTAAGGCCCCATGCTCAGTGCTGGCACGGGGGTGGTGTTTGGTAGAACTGCACACACAACACAAATACACAGAAACAAAAATAAATAAATAAAAATAAAAAAAGGTTGCCAGTTCGATTCCCCGTCAGAGCACATGCTCAGGTTGTGGGTCCAATCCCCGGGGGGGGGGGGGGGGGGGGGGCGTGCAGGAGGTGGACAATCGATGTTCTCTCACATCAATGTTTCTATCTCACTCTCTCTTCCATTCTTCTCTCTCTAAAATCAATAAAGAAAAAAAATTTTTTTTTTTTTAAAAATCAGCTTTGGGAAGTGCTCTTGATCCACTTGCTGATAAAATACTTATCAGTATCTTATATGTTAGCTTGACTTATGCAGATCTTATTCCAGTTCCACTTACATATATGATAATTTCAAGAGATGTAACGTTGATTGCTGCTGTTTTATATGTCAGATATCGAACTCTTTCAACACCGGTTAAAACCAACCTTCATCAGCAAGGTAAACACAGCAGTCCAGTTCATCTTGGTGGCAGCTCCAGTTTTCAATTATGCTGATGCATTTGCCTTCAGATAC